AAATGAATATTACAGTGTTTTGCAACACGATTTCTTTCACTTGCTGCGTGAGATCAGACCACAAATGTCTGTTCTTGACTCAGCAATCATCTTCATCAAACATACGTTGAAACAGAAGAAGAAAGTATCGGTCCGGTTCACGATGCAAACTAGATTCTTCTCATCAGCAAAGAGAGTATTCCAAACCATTTAGGATTCTTTGTCCAGAGAGGACAGTAAGTTTTGTATAGAGAGGCACCACTTTAATAAACAAGAGACTGATAATATTGAATGGATGTGTGTTCTTGGATGTTCATTCAGTTTCTATTCTCAATTATCTATAGACAAATTGCTATTTATATCTAATCAGTCCCCAAATGGAAGGGGTAACTAATATAAACAGGCTACAACAATAATGGTTTAAGAGTTGTTTTCTGATATTGATTGAATTCACTGAGGAATGGGAGACAGCTATTTTTTTTTATTTCTTTGAACAATCTGCTTTTCCCTGCCAGAATGATGGAGTCTGTCATCTTCAGTTTCTGGTTCTCATTCATTAGCACAAGGATGCAGTGTTTAGGTTCAGCATGTTTATAGATCAAAGTCAGAAGCCAAACACATTCACAGTCTGCTTTATTTTGTTTTTGTGGAATTTGACAGTTGCCCTTTAAAGAAACATTCCTAAGGTAGTTGACTTTAAATCTACTCATCTATGTTATCACTCACAAGTGATCAGTAGTGTGACTTCTAGTGTCTAGCTGAGAAGCAAGTTTTGTAAAAAACATGGAGTCAGTCATGGGAAGGAAGGAGTTTTTAGGAAGAGCTCAACACAAACAGTACAGCAGTAGGCAGCTTCTCCTCTGCATTCCACATGTGATTAATGCTAACACATTCAACATGCCAACTTAGCACTTGCCCTCTTCTCTGTTGATTCAAGAGCAAAGGTCCTGTTTCATAACTCTCAACTCCCCCCTTTTAAAGTAGAACCAGGTCCCCGATCCGGTTCACAGCACCGCAGCAAACAGTTGGGCCAGGGTAAAAGAAGAAGGTGGGGAAGACAATACTTTAATCCAGTTTTACCGTAGACACTTTATGTTGTAAGAACACGGCCTTACTTCAAGATAATGCCAATCTCTGTTTACCCAGGGAGGGGGCACATTTATTATCTAATTCAAAAAGTGAAGGGGTAACATCTATTTTCAACATGCAGCTCCAAGCCCAGAGTAGTTTTCCAGTTTTAATGAGGAAACCCTCCTTTTGTACAAAGGGGGAGAGACTAAGAGATATCCAAAAATGTTCCTACCTGAAATGCTCACTTTTAGCCCTGCAGTCCCTTGAAGAACATCGACCCCTGAGTTTCTGTGCTGACTTAGCTGGCATTGAGACAGCAGGTTTGCCAATGTTGGGAATGCGCTGATGAAGTTTTCACGCGCAAGTTAGTGCTCTGACATACTTGAGATGCGTGCACCCTGGCTGTTTTGAGTTAGTGAGTTTGCAGGCCTCAGAGATTTTCTAATACTTTCCTCTAGCGTTTGCCAGCAAGTCTTCATAAAGTTACTCTTCATAAGCACCATGAGGGTTACATTTTCCATTTTCTAAGACTGTCCATCTTCAGATGACTTGCTTGCACGTTCATCCATGACATCTCCTACTATACCTTGGCAAGAACCTACACAAGTTTCCACAACGGATTTTTCATACTTTCTCTGCTGAAGTAGTAGGTAAGCTGTACAGATTATTCATTTCCAACTCGTTAGTCTGCACCTACTTGTGTTACTATAAAGACTGCAAAGTATCTCAGCCATAGAGCACCTTAAATACGCTGTGAGTCAGTGCCTAAAAGATAACATTCTATCTTTTTTATCAAGTTAAAGAATCGAGAGAACATTGGCTTTGAGACTGCAGTTTTTCTGTGTTATGGTTTGGTTTCTACTTAACGATAAACCAGTGGAAAGACTCAAAGTAGCATTATGATTTTCCTTTGCAATACCTTTTCAGTATTATACCTTTCTTCCCCTCAGACGAAAAATTATACAAGGCTCTTTTCTTGTGTATTGTACTCCGTGGGCAAATTTGATTTTAAACAAAATTGATTTCACTCACATTCGCATAACCACATACTCACAAGCAGGAAGATGCTTGTATCCAGGTGGTCTGCCCAGGATTCACTGCAATGACAGAGGGGACAAAGGACACTGCCTGTCGACTCCTCACCACATCTCCCGGGCTCTTCTTGGGTTGATTACCTTGTGCTGGCCTGGATATGTCTTTCTGAACCCTGAAGGAGCTGACAGAGGTTAGTTGCTCTTGCCTATCCCACCCTTACGTGTTATCAGGATTTATACACTGTCCTTTGTTTCCCAGTCTTGGTGTCCTGAGAAGCTACAGGTTGATATGTGCTGTCATCTTGATGATCTGCCACCAACACATACTGTTTTCATAGCCCTGCTCCTGCCTTTGCTCGTTCTGGTGCTTCCACACCCAGACGTTACCCTTCGTTCTATGTTCACACAAATCTCAGTAATTCTGTTACGCTTCTCCAACTTGGTACCTGAAGTAGCTCTGGATGAGTTGTCTTAGATACTGCATGGCATAATGTCATGTGCAGGCACAGCCTAAGTGAAAGCCTGCAAAGGGAAAGAAGTGATTTTTTCTTTTTTTGATGTGTCACATAAAGAGCTATGCGAGAGTTGCTCCTCCTCGCCTTTCTTCTCTCTTCCCCAAATGTACTTGGGAAAAAGTGATTTTTCACCTCCTTATAATAGTATGTAGAAGTCAAGTTAAAGCGAGTGGGGCACAGTAATGCATTTACTCACGCATTACTCGCACCATCTAAGAACACTTTGTTTGAATTCATGCTCCATGAACCTCTGCTGCGTTAAACTTTAAATATAGCAAAGATGGCTAGGGACACCTTTTAACTGGCCTACTTAAATTAACAAGAGACAACCTCTTGATACCTCCATCTTTAGAAAAAAGTGACAGTGACCTGAAGCCAGGAAGAGCAAGCATTTGGCAGTCAGAAGACAGACCTTAAAGAAAGAGCTTTGGTACCTTTAAGAGACACTTTCCAGGGCTTTTTAAAGCCAAATCTGTAAACAATGGCTTGTGCAGATCATTTATGAAGTCAGGCTGGGAACATGGGATAAT